TGAAGGACCACATTGAAAAAATAATAATACACATGTCACATTGATTTTTTTTAAAAGTACAAGGCCTCTGATATTTTTTTGTCAAAATTTTATAAAATGATCATCATGATACAATAGAAAACTATAAAATTTATCGAACTATTACAAAATAATTTTCACAATAATATTAAAATAGTAATTAAATTGTTAAACTCTATCATCGTACTTTATATAAAAAGGGTAAATTACCCATCTGTCGTGTTATTCGTCACATTATCAACCACCGTGGACTACCATGTCAACATCGTAGACCACCACATCAGCAACGTGAACTGTCACGTCGGCATCGTAACAGTCAACGACAAAAAAATGTTGGTCAAAGGGCCACATTGAGTTTATTTTCTAAGTTCAAGGGCCACATTGAAAAAATAATAATATAATGGTCGTATTGATTTTTTTTTAAAGTACAAGGCCTCTGATATTTTTTTGTCAAATTTTTATATAATGATCACCATGATGCAATAGAAAACTATAAAATTTATCGAACTATTACAAAATAATTTTCACAATAATATTAAAATAGTAATTAAATTGTTAAACTCTATCATCGTTTATATAAAAAAGGTAAATTATACATTTAGTATTTAAACTATTAATTTTAGCCCATTTTAGTACCTAAACTTTCAATTTTTTAAAACCATGCATAACGTTTAATTTCCATTTCATTTTAGTACTCATCGTTAAAAACTTAACGCATTTAGTACATAAACTATCAGTTTTACTTTGTTTTAGTACCTAAACTTCAATTTTTTTAAAAACTTAACGTTTAATTTTGAACATGGTATTAAAATGAAAAAAAACTAAGTTGTTAACAGATTGGTACTAAAATGAAACAAAAGCCAAATTTTAGGTATGATTTTGAAAAAAATAAAAAGTTTAAGTATTAAAATAGATCATTATTAATAGTTTAGGTACTAAATATAATTTATCCTAAAAAGTAAGAAAATTGACAGCATTAGAGTTGAAATGGGAGTCTGAGAAACGGCACTACCGGTAATAGTGAATCTGACAAAGGAAAACAAAAGGGACCAAAATGAGATTCCTCCAAATTTAGCAGACTCCCCTTTTCGTTCCCAGCCATCCATTTGTTTTCCCCACAAACCAACGCATTGCACACTCTTCCATTCCCTTCAGATTCTCCATTAAAACCCACCCTCTTTCTTCTACCTCCTAAACCCTCAAACTTAACATCTTGTACCATCCTTCTTCCCGCATTACCACTCACTGTTGAAATCTTATGGTCATTTTCTGGTTTCCCTGACCTTGTTCTTCTCTTTTGGGCACTTAAACTGAAGTGGGTTTTCTTTCTTTTACTCTGTATATCTTGGCAAAGCTTTGGTTTTTATTGTAAAGTTTATGTTTTTTCTTATACCCTTTTGTTTAGTTTATTATTGTCAATACATTTGATTTTGTTTTTTTTAGTGTTTATTGAATTGGTTGGGTTGAGAATTCTTGCAAAATCAAGAGACTTTAGATGTAGCTTGGTAGTCCAACCTAAAGTTTTTAGTCGTTTAGTACTCTTATTACTGTTTGGAAGTCTATATATATATATATATATGGGGGTGTATTGTTGATAAAAAGATGGGGGTATGGCGGAGATGGGACGGTTCACCTCGTTAAGACAAGGCGGAGAGCCGTCGGATACTGTGGGCTGAATGGAGGCTTATAAAGAGGAGGATGGTCTTGGAGAAGAGAAGGGGTGAATATGAGTGAATATCCTGGCCTCCCTCCTTAAAGCTTCAACCTCTATAAGGAGTTTCCCTTTTCCGGGGTGATGCGTGCCGCCTTATTATCGGAGAGTCGGGGGGGGGCGGGAGGGGGGGAAGTGGCTTGATTCTATAGGTTAATGTGCCTGAGGTATCTTAAGATAGGACTAGTTGGTTGAGATAAGACTTGACGGTTAACGAGAGCTGCCTATGTGGTGATGTTGTAGAGACAATTTTGCAGGGTGAGGGGTCCTTGCGAGATGTCTCCGGTGATTGCTTGTGGCGAGGGGTTCGGTAACCTATACATAAATCGCTATGACATTATTCAAATGTCGTCTATTGTAGGATTAAGATTCATAATGTCACGCTGGTCACAAGAAGAACATATAATAGGTTAGTTTTAGCAACAAAAAAGAGTTCGATTCATGAGTTCATGCTTGATATTTGTTAATCTTTGAAGTTTTTGAGGCCCCTTTTGAGAATTACACTAGATTTGTGGACTTTATCTTATTAATATGGTATCATGGACTTACTGAAGTTTTTATAAATTAGTGGACTTTTTCATACATGTAAAATTAACATGATGGAGATATATCGTATGTTTCAGCCTACAATGCTAGGAGACAATTGTGCTGATTCTGAAGGGGAGATTAAGGTGAGTTTTGGCTATCAATGCAACGATCACGAAGGTATTCCGTGCAGGGGTGGTAATAGGTACAGAGTCGAGTCTGGACGTAAAATGCCGAGGAACCACAGTTTCTCTTGTTTGTCTGGTGCTGCCTTAAGTGCTAATGCTACCTTGGCCAACACCAATATCTGCAATGGTCTGATAGGATCAGATATTCTTCCTGGTTTGGACTCCCCTAACTCGTTTCGTAGGGTTCCTTCTTCTCCGTCTCTTTCAAGGTTGGATATATTATCGACTTCCCTGCAAAGCACTATGTCAAACTTAAGTTGCAGTCCACCGAGTTCGGTTGATTCACATGAAACTGATTTTTGTTTACGCCAACCCACGAGTGCTCTTACTAGAAGTGACAGTTTCCTTAATGCTGTGGAAGTTCAAGTAGCGGGTGGAGCTGCGGGTGAAGATAGGGTTCAAGCTGTCTGTTCCGAGGAGAATGAATGGCTCTTTTGTGCCATCTATGATGGCTTCAACGGGAGGGACGCTGCCGATTTTCTCGCCGGGACGTTATATGAAACCATAATGTTTTACTTTAATTTACTAGACTCAGAGTCAAAGAAGGATGTTCCCAGAGCGCCATTTGAATGTTCTCTCGATGATAGTATGACAGGTATTGAACCTGCAAGTGCCGAAAGCTTCACGAGGAAAGGCATGGATCCTGAAATGGAAGCGTCATCTCATTCATTTAGGCATCGGGTGCTTGGTATCCTCCAACGAGCTCTAATTCAAGCTGAAAATGATTTCTTGCACATGGTAGAGCAGGAAATGGAGGACCGCCCCGATTTGGTTTCGGTAGGATCTTGTGTTTTGGTTACGCTTCTTCATGGTAAACATTTGTATACACTCAATTTAGGTGACAGTCGAGCTGTATTGGCGACATTTGATGAAGGCAACAGCATCGGTCAGTGCGAAAGATTGAAAGCTATTCAGCTAACTGATATTCACACCGCCGATAACGAAGTTGAACGAACTAGACTCTTGAATGAGCATCCCGATGACTCTACTCCCGTAGTAGCTGGAAAAGTGAAAGGAAAACTGAAGGTCACTCGTGCTTTCGGAGTCGGTTACTTGAAAAAGGTCGGTTCTGGTTATTCTCATCGTGACTTATAGTTGTCGTTCTTTATATTTCCCCCTTTATGAAGGTCGACTTTCACTGCATATTAACAAGTAAGTGATGTTTTGCAGAAGAAACTGAACGATGCACTGATGGGAATTCTTCGAGTTCGAAACCTCATTAGTCCCCCTTATATCTCCACTGAACCATCACTAAACGTGCACAAAATATCAAGATCCGATCACTTTGTTATCGTCGGCAGCGACGGTTTATTCGACTTCTTCAACAATGAAGAAGCTGTAAAGCTCGTCCATTCCTACATGTCGAGCACCCCGTCTGGAGACCCCGCAAAATTTCTCGTGGAACAGCTCGTAATCAAAGCAGCTCGTTCCGCAGGTACATTTGAACAGCGATTACAAATCATCCGTGCCTTTTCGGTTATTTGCTTTCTTATGTTACTGTTATTAATGCAATAGGTTTCAGTACGGAAGAATTGTTGAACGTTCCGGCCGGTAGGAGGAGGAGATACCACGACGATGTTACCGTCATCGTGATTATTCTCGGAACGAATCATCGAACTTCGAAGGCATCGACCTATTTGTGAAGCATATGTACTATTTTTATCTTCATTGCAAGTAGCAGGAGTAGATCTAGCAGTCGTAAATCACTGTATGTTTTCATTTCAACTTGTATATAAGCTTAAATTCGATCTGTTTTCATCAACTGAGTCTCCTGGTTCCGCGAGAATGCTGACTGGACGCCACATCAGACGCAGTCAATCCCCAATTCATGCCCACAAAGCCGGCCTTGATTCCAGAAAAATAAAAAAGTTGCAGAATTTCATTTATTTTAACACCATTTCTACTGCCCTGAAAACGCAAAATCAACAACTTAAATCAACTAATCAAGGAGTAATTGCCAACAAAATATTAACTAATTTAAGCACTAATCACTTTGCCATCATATTCTACTCTAGTTTCAGTGAAGTGCTACTCGAAATTGGAAATGACGAGCTACTTTTATTCTGTTGTTCAATTAGTACACTATCCTCTTGCATCAGCTATGATCACAACTTGACTCATGTTTTGGACTTGTAAACTTGCAGATGAACTATGAAGATTTTTGCCACATTGCCTCCATATGTACAGAACAAATAGGTCCAAAATGTCGTCATTTCTTCAGCCCATACATCTTCATGAAGTTTGAGAAAGACGAGTCATGACGAATAGCCATATGTCCTTCTATCTTTATGCGATGCGCACGGCAAGTCTTTGTTTCTGCATTACGGATTGTTGCTGCATTAGCTAATGGTATTGGTCCTAAAATCATGATGTTCAAAGAAACCAAGATATCACCTGCTTTTATTTTATTTTTTTAAATTTATTCTTATTCAGGAAGTGAAGAGCATGACTTAGAATCTGAATGATGATTGCATTACATAAATTTGACAAATACAGTCAAGATTGCAACACTTCTTCGAAGTAATGGAAAAGGTTATTCTCATGAGCATTTTTTACATAAGCTCCATTACTTAGTTCTATCCGACAAGGGCCCAAATCGGGGCCAGTTGAGCAGTTGTTTATTCGGACTGTTCCTCTTACCATGTAAGATGGCTGTAACTAGTCGGTTTCGGTCCAACACTATACATTGAATGGCTTCCTTGGAGTCGGTGCTCGGTTCTCCATAGACTGCAGTCTTTGCTTGAGGTGGAAAACTTCAACCTGCAGTGCAAAAAAGCTATATGTTATATTGTCATCAAGCAATCGTGCAGCGTACTCCGGCTGTGACATTAGTTTAGGGTCTACGGTTACGAATGCCATACCTGTAGTTGGAATGCTCTTGCCCTCTCTCCTGCAAGGATGCCTCTGGTCGAGTGTAGTTCCTATTACAAGTTTCAAATCAGGCACTCTTTCGAAAGACACTCTAGGATCGAAAAATACGAGTTCCATGACAGATTAATAATACCTTTTGAGTATCATCTAGAACTGCTTTAAGGAAAGCCACATCATGTTCGAGTCTAACATTGTCCGAATGGACGATGTTCGACAAGTTGTTGGCCTCTTCTTGTGCAAGTTCTATGCTAGCTAGTTTCTCTTTTAGCAAGTCCATCTCTTCCACTGTGTCTGCAAGTCTTTTCTCCATCTCGTCTTTGCTCTTCAAAGCCGAACCTAAGTTTCTCCCCACACTGTCTCGGCTTGCCAATGCAGCAGCCAACTGTACTTCTAAAATCCCGTTTTTTCTACTCAGAGCAGCCATTCTGGTCTCGTAAAACTGATATATGCTTGAAGGTGCTGATAGAGCTCCTGATTTACCTTCCATGTCCGGAAATACGAAATTATCACTAGCAAAAGTAATGTTTGTGATCCCTTCAGCCTGGGGATTTGAACTCTCGCATTCATATAGGCATGATTCATCCGAACAGAATTTGGTCCCAGGAACATTAATCGGAACTCCAGCATCAGATTGATTTGGCTTTCGTTCTGTTGCCTGAAAACAACGAAAACATGTTATGTTGATGGAATATTTCGATCGCAGAAAAATTAAAGGATAATCATATCGAAGGCAAAAGTTAACTAAGTGAAGCTTACCTGCAGGATGGAACTTAAGTCCTCTGAACTCTTTCTTAATCTGACACTCGTGTTGTGTTCTTCCTCACTAAGAAATTGCTTCCGTAATGAGACATTTCCGGAAAGAGGATTTTGATCTGCAAGTGACAAATCCGACATCGATCTCCTACCAGAACCATGTTCGATTGCAGAGGCTAGATTTTGTCTAGCAGCAGAATCAACTGAACGGTTAGAGGAACCAGTAGTAGGTTGGCTAGCTGACTCCACAGATGAACGTTTTCCCGCACATTTACCGAGATTTGATTGCCTACCCATGGATGATTCATTCTTCCCGATGATGAGTACTTCAACCTGTGAGAAAAAATGAAGGTATTACAGTTTGAACACAATCTAATCATTCCGAGTATACGAAATCAAACTTCAACCTGATTTGAAGGTTCCTTCCTGTATCCACCAAATGCAACAAGAAAATCCTTATCCTTATGCTGCACAAGTACTAGGCTAAACCCCTGCAAGAACAACTATCATAAGAACAATAGGGCAGAGTGCTAGTAAATAGAGATTCCATTGTGCTTAAACGAAATCCAACCGGGATTTTCTACCGGTCTGAGTTCGCAAACTTTCTGGTTATATATACAATTCACATCATGCAATAGGGAGGTATAAAGTTCACTTAAAGAATCACACTTTTGATGCAAAAGGAAAATTTCAGCATATTGTTGACCTTGTTAGTGGTGATCGAAGATGGAGGTGATGCAACGGCGACAGACCACTCGGACTTTAGAACATCATAGATGAAAGTCTCTGTATGTCCTGTAAACATTTCGGAATCAAATAAGAAAAGAAAAATGAATGCAAAGAGTAATATGTAAAACAATAGTGAAACTAATTGTAGGATTCATTACACCGTATTAGGTGATATGCATAATATGGGCTATACGCACTCCTATGAAGATATATGCTTCGATATGAAACAATAATAGGTTCGACGAATTCAAAATTCGCTAGAAAAAACGATTCCGAATCCATATATGATGCTTTTTTCGTCGAAGTTTATAATTGTGAGCTTCCCTGTACGAGCCATACTTTTTTTCCTACTTCCACCCCCTGCTATGTACCATTTCGTTCCACACAGAACTCCACAGCAACCGGCTCTAGGCGACGGATGAAAGCCACGTATTTTTATTCTTGACCATACCATCTGAGGGAAAAACTACAAAGAATTAACAATAGTACGCATTGTAATCTGAATGTAAACGCGGCAAGAAAGCTAAAAGTTTTTTCGCACCGTTTCGAAGTCAAGCGAGTACAAGTCGTTCAATGTCCTGGACTTTGACGCCCCACCAAATACGAGAAGGGTTTTATCATCACATAGAGTTGCCACATGATTGGATCTCGGAGACGGTCTTGCTCCACTGCACAGACAAAACCATTCATTCACTAGAAGCTTCTTCGAAAGGGATTTAGTCTTACAATGCATATGTAGGAGCCGTATTTCTCTGTCAGCAAAGTGGCATACGTGCACTGAAGTGTGAGCCAAGTCGAGGATTTCAAATCAAACATATGTAGGTCGTTCAGTTTCTTCTTTTTCGCAGTTTCACCCCCGAAAAGGATTAGAACAGAGTTTGCCCTGACCACAGCGTGACCACTTCGCTCAACCTGGAAGCAACAGAAGTGTTTGTTATAGCCGATACGAGGGATGCAACAAAGCAAATAGAAAATCAACACCATGCAAATTTGTGACGTCCATGTTATAGCTATATCGAATATATGAACTTCCTAGTAAATTCACTGTTAATCTGTTATTAATAATTTGGAATTTGCTTCTAATGATGTTTTATATCAATGCAAGAAATGCTACTTTACAAGTAATTTGGCATTCTATGAGTCGACAAAAAGTACCGGAATTTCTCCTTTTACTTCCATAACTGACCAACATTCCGTCTCGGTATCAAATGCCCATACTGCAAAATCATAAATTGCGAACATAAAACATATCACATCATGTACTAAAAAAGGTGAGAATAGTGGACCACAAAAGAATACAATTTCGAACCTGAAATTTTGTCGTTCACAGGGTCAGTTCTGCCTCCGACAAGGAGGGCCTTTTTCCCAATGAAACCTGAGTAAGATACGACAGATACACATGAGCATAGCAATACACCTAATGCTTTTGCCAACCCACTTGTTAAAAAATACATGAAACAACCCAATGATACGATAAAGTAGCGAAAAAGGACTTCATCGGATGACTAAACAGAAACAGCATAATCTCAATTGAAATGCATAAAGGAACAACAATTCAGCACATCGAATCACAATATGCAAAGCAAAGTGAACATAGCGTCGGGAAAATGGAGTATATCACAAATGATTGTACCAGACTATGATCCTTGCATGAAGGAATCTTCAACGGAAGACTGCTCGGTGACAAGTAGAGCTTTGATGATGCCATGGTCCAGGAAAAATCATCGAAATTAAGAACCTGCATATAAAGAGAAAATAATTACCGGACAAAAACTCACAGTTTGTGACACATCTAGCATCAAGTCAAGCAATCAAGATATAGCTTTCAATTAATTACCTGCACATCATCTAACAATCCATTCCCAGATTCACCGCCAACCACTATCATCTTGTTCCCAACCATGGCGGCTGCATGCTACTCAAAGAACAAGTTTTCAGCGTTTCCATCATTCGTAATGAAGCAATCAGAAAACCGGAAAGCAACAATGCATTACATTAAAGCGAGGCACAGGCTTTTCCCCGGCAACCGATAACACCATCCAGTTCTCAGAGTTCCCTGATGAATTAATCTCGGGGGCAGCCGAAGGTCCTTGGGAGTCAAATTCATCGGAATGACTACCGGCAGGCAAAGAAGACTCCACCTGAAACAAATTTAAATGCTTCTAACATTTCATCACACATTTCCACCAACACAAAACCAGAAATCAAGTTAAAAAGTGGACTCACAATGGTATTGTTGTTTCCTTTGGGCGGCCTTATAGGACTCCTAGTTCCATGTCCGGACTCCGAAAGTTGTACTTTCTTCACTCTAAAACACAACAATGTACCAAAAAAGGAGGGATTTGAGCATTTTTGTGATCAAGTTTGCAATTTACACACCAAAGCCCTCAATTGCTTAAAATGATTAGCCTGCATTTTCTTCATTGACATACAAATTATAATCTTCAACAAAGAACAAATATCCAAATGAAGAATTGAAACTTCAAAGCAAAGAAAATGAGACACACACACACAAAGTCAAATAATGAAAGAGAAGAAACTGACCTGCCGAGCTTCATGCGTCTACGGGAGAAGCTAAACATTTTCATCTGACCAGACTTTATTATGTAGCAAAAGGAGATCTCTTTGAATCAAAACCCAAAAACCCTAGAATTTCCACAAAAATGAAGCTACATTATCATCAAGAAAACAGTTCAAAACAACAAAAATAAACCTACCAGCCACACATGACACAAGTAAAATGATAAAAACCTCAATCAACTATCAAAGTTCCCATTTTTTTCCAAATAAGAACAAAGTGGAATCCACCATAACCATGGACTCAGAGCTTAACCTGACACTAAAGCTTTGACCTTTAACCTCAAACTTGAGATGGGAAAAAGAAGAAGAAGAAGAAGAAAATGCATCAATGGGAAAATAGTAAACAATGTTTGAAGGGTTCAATTATGGGCTGGGTTTTTTGAGGAATATGAGTTGTACCTTCTGTAGTAAATAGTGATGACACACAGAGAGAGAGAGAGAGGCAGCTGAAAAACAAAGGGAACCATTAATGCTGTGATTAACAAAATAATTTTGTCATAAACAAGAATCATTAATGTTGGTTTTTTTATTATTAAACATAGTATGAATATGAGTGATTTATTTTATATTATTATTGATCGAAGCCTATAGATTTAGTAGCTTTAAATGGAATAGAAAAAGGGTTGTGAAATTTTATGAAGTAAATAACAAGTAGCAGAGTTGAGAGTGACCGCAGAAGAGGGAGAACTCTCATGGAAAAACGACCCCTCCATCGCCATTTGTTTCTTTCTTTGGATATTGCTAATAATTGCAGGGGTAAATTACACTATTCAGTACTAAACTTTACTCTCTATTATATTTCAATCACTGTACTTTAAATCTATTTTATTTTCTCACTGATCTTAGCACATTTAATTTATTTTGAATTGTTTCATTTTATGACTAAATTGATCAATTATATGATTTTAAGGTTAAAATATTATCATATTAGGTAAGGTCATTTTTTCATCTAATATTTAACGAAAAAATGATATCTTTATAGCAATATTTTAATTGACTTATTTTTATTAATTTTAGAAAAATATATTTGTTAGTAAACTCATAAATAAATGACATTACATGTAATTTACTCATAATTTTATGTGTTGCTTTGTTAGGATTTGGATAAATTATGATTCTAGTCCTTTCATTATTTTAAAATTTGATATTTGACCCTTTAACTTCAATATCATTAAAACAAACCAATTGGTTCATTTGGATAAAATTTGACGACTAAATTGTATTTTTTATAACAACAAATTTATTTTTTAAATGAATGAAGTCAGCTTAAACTTGACAAATCAAAGTGACTGATTTTAACTTTGTTTAGCTGGGTCAATTTAGACTATTTAATTTATAGTGAGAGGTTAAAACTATAAAGCTATCATAATAAAGGGACCAAACGAAAATTATACCATTGTTCTATGTGTCCTTTTTTCAAATAGTTCTTGTCTCGGAACTTGCGGCTATCTGCTGCTGCCCGTCACTGTGGTTCTTCATCACACGTGTCACTTTTTTATTCAACCCCACATCTCTTGTGTTTTTTCTATGGGCTATGGGCCCATTTGCCAAGGAAAAGTAACCCTAAACCCATTTTAAATATCAAGCTAAGCCCCTGTTTTGGACATATACCCGTAATTTATCAGGTTAGGATGCTTACATAATAGTGTCTGATCAAGAGACCCTTAATTATATAATAATGAATACTCAAAATCTTTATAGATGACGTGTTAGAACTCAAAATCTCAATGAATGCTTAAACACTATCTTTATTAATATATATTTAACAATTTAATTTTTACAAAAATTAAATGATCATATTTTTAATTATTTAGAACTTAATATTAGTAATTTATATGAGTAATAGGGTGTTCATTCGGTTAAAACGGTGATCGACCGAACCGAATTAATCGAACTTTTATTTTTTTTAACTGTTAACCGAACTAAAATTTTTTTTGAAAATATTAACCGAACCAAATAAATTTCGGTTAATTTGATTAATTTTCGAATTAACCAAAAAAATTTAAAATTTTCTAAATTATATAAAAATTGAATATTTTTTAATTCAAAAAAATTACAATTAATTTAAATAATATAATTATAAATTAAAAAATTTATATAAAATTTTTAATTAATTAATATTGATTTAGGTTTAAAAGTTATTGGATCTTAAATTATTAATTGAGTTTTAAATAGTTTGGGATGAGCCCATATATTATATATAATATATTTAAAATTTAAATTTAAATTTCGGTTAATTAACCGATTTCGAGCCGAATTAACCGTTAACCGAATTTTAAAAAAATTATTAACCGTTCCCCGACCGAATAAATTTGATGGCCGACCGAATTAACCGAACTAATTCGGTTCGGTCAATTAATTCGGTTAAAACCAAAAAATGAACACCCCTAATGAGTATAATATGAAATATGATGAACTAGAAATTGATTATAACATGGATTAAAATATTTTTTACTTTTAATAAATATAAATTTTTAATTAAAGATGATTTGATAAAAAATATTATTTTTTTAAAATGTATATTTAATATTAATTAAATATTCCTTTTATTGATATTAATTAAATATGAACTTCATTCATCTCTTCACTCAACGGAACATAGGGCTTTAGGGCAACACTTCGATGTTGTTTGTTTTTGTAGATATAAAAGGTTTGCAGTCTGCGGACCACATCTGTAGACATCTGTAGCAGAAGAGGTGGACCAAAAGTTTTCAGTCTGCAAGAAGAATATTGTTTATTTTTTAACGTTTGCATACTGCTAAAATAAACCGAACTATAAATAAACTGATTTTTAAAACTTAAAAGAGTTTTGTAATACTGAAGTTTAAATAATTTTAGTTTTACAATACTGAAATTTAAATAATTCATACAACTACAATAATAAATTTTTTAAAATAAATCAATCTATATTTTGCATTAATTGCTCAGCAATTTTATCTCGTAGCTGAGAAGCAGGTTTTTTAAGCGATGATTTTTTTAGGCAATGGCTTTTGTTTTTAATGTTCTTTGAATAGGTTGGAAGAGTTTTGAAGACACAATGCCACGTCTGCGCCAAGAAAATGACGCACAGACATTTTCAGAGCTACTGTCTTCTAAAAAAATAAACGGTCTGCGAAGCCCAATATCTACGCGAACAGACATAAGAACTTTAAAGACTTTTTAAAAAAAACAAACACCACCTTCAAGTTTGTTCTCTCATTACTTTATAAATATTCCTTTATTTCTCTTATGGGGAAAAAAAGAGAAAAAACAATTGAAATATACATATTATATATTACTTTTATTGATACCGAAAATTATTCTACCAAATTTGTTTGACACCTCTCAATTTATTATCTAATAAGTTAACAGAAGAATGATTTGTTAATACCATGTAAAAAGAATTTGATTTTATAAATTTTTAAAATTATTGTATACTTTTTTTTGTCTTTCGGGTTTTAAGGTTTTATATTGATTAATCCGAGTCTACCCGCATTACACACCTAGTTTTGGTGGGTGAGTCTACCGACAGGGATTTTTCGCATACACAATGACTCGAACTTGAGACCTTGCTTAAGCGATATCAAGCCTTAATACTTAAACCAACCCCTGTTGATAAAATCATTGTATAATTGATAACAGATGATTGAGATGAATAATATAAAATTAAATATTAAAATATAATAAGATAATCATAATCATCTATTTCACTCATTCAACGATAATAAAAATGTAAAAAATTAATATTTTTATCTTTAAGTTTAAGTGGATCTTAATTATTAAAACATATATCAATATTTTATATATTATTTATAATTTTAAACATTTTCAATAAAATATATTATATTATTTAATTTTAAAAAATAAAATGATTTAACTATAATTATATAACAAATAATAATTTATAATATTATACGCTATTGGTGCATCAAATATAATTCGTTAATGTAACGTCCCAAATCCGGGTTAGTAGTTCGGGCCAATCTGATACCCATTTTAGAGCCCAAAAGATTTATTAAAATAGTTTGGACCAAGTTTAGTGGGAATTGGGCTGAGTTGGGCCCAAAAAATTAGAAAACGTAATGTTTTTAGAGTCTCAATTTGAATCCTTTATCCTGTCTCGATCAAACAGCACATGTTGGGTTGCACGAATCCTCTTCTAGGGTTATGAAAACCCTAAGGGGGTATTTGGATCAAGGAACGTGGGATTCTCATGGGAATGGAATCCACATTCCCATGTTTGGTTGGTCGGGAATCTTATTCCCGGTAATGTTTTATTACCAATAGCAGTTTTTTAAGGTATATTATCGGGAATGCCATTACCTCAATTTCCTTAGGTATTGTTGGATTACCGACGTTTTGGACTAAAATGCCCTTAAATTTTTTTCCAAAAAATATATTTCTTCTGTCATTGAATAATAAAAATTCTATGAAAGTTAAATTACAAATTTATCCTTAAAATATTTTAGATTTGCAAAAAAGTCTATAATTAAAATTTTATATGAAGTTCATGGGGTAAAATAAAATTTTACCCTTTCATTAAACCTTTTTATATTTCAATTTTGTAAATATATATATATATATATATATAAATTTTATGAATTTAAATTTTTTTAAAGAAAATATATAAATATTTTTCAACTTGTTAAAAAAACAAATATATAATAAGGACAATTTGGTTAACTATACATTCGAATAATCTTTTATTCCTTTAACCAAACACGATTACATTCCTGCTAAACCAACCAAACACAAAATACAACATTCCCAGTAATCATATTCTCTAGTAATCTTACATTACGTGAACCAAACGCACTCTAAGTGTTGATGCATATAGACAGTACGATGATGGCTTGATCTAATGAGTTGTGTTGGCTGCGCAATGACATTGTGACAAAACCCTAATTGCTTCTAAGCTCAATTGGTAGAGCACATGATTCTTAACCTTAAGGTCGTGAGATCGAGTTCCTCAGAGGGTATTTCATAATTTGAAGGTAGGTCTCTTACGGAAGCTGCTCTCAACCTGGTGTTGGGGGCAGCCTACTATCTTACCTCCCCTTACCCCATACATATAAGAAAAAGGGACAACCATTTTTTATATACATAAATATATAATACACTCATAATAATTAAAAATAATAAAGTAAATAAAATTAGAAATGAAAATGAGATTCAACAAAATATAGTGTCTACAAAATAATATTAGTTGAGATCATTAGATTTCACCTTAATTTTAAAATAAATCGTGTGACGATCGTATATTTGAGTCAATTAATACATGGGTAAATTGCATTTTGCCCCCCCCAATTGTAAAAAAACGTCAATTAATCCATTTA